TCTAACTTAGCAGATTGCACGGCTTCAACAGGCCACCAAATTGATGTCGATGAGATGTACGAGTGAAATCTGCTTGATTTCAACACAGAAAGGCCGTGAGAACACAGGTAGTCAATGGATCTGGACTTCTGATGAGACCGGACCAAGTCGAAACAGCTGTCCAATATCTTCGAGCTTTTCAGTTCACGTATCATTTGCTTTTTAAGCGATGAAAGTCACCATACGAACAAACCAAATCCTCCATTTCTTTCATTTCTTTATCAATCGAAAGTAACGGTTTCTCAAATCGGTGATAGTTTCTCAAATCAATCTTAAATTGTTTTTTTAAAACGTGCTCGTACAGGTTTGAGAATATACAATCACCGATTTCACCGAATCCTTTATTTATCCAATAACTCACCCGGAATACACTCGATAAGTGTATGGGTATTTGAACCCTCAGAGTTCGTCGAGCCATTTCCGCATAGAGGCAGGTCTGTGGCATTAAAAAGCGGGACATTGTATGATAGACAGTGACAGCATCTATTGCGTTTAGCTTTAAGTACATGGGCATGAAAGACTGGGAATTATGGGATGGTTCGATGATTCAAATCAAGGCCCTGATAGAGCATCGTTCCGTAACAAGCCTTTACTCACTACTGTCATCCCAAGTTGGTGAGGGATCACATGGCCACTAGTAGAAGAAAAGTAGACAATTTATACAAAGGAGCACATTTCTAGGCAATGGGCATTTCTTCTGGATGTTGTTTTATACTACTGCGTTTAACTTGAGCGTAAAGTGTAAACAAATACATGAAACGGAAATAGTAACATTTCCACGTTTATTTTTGCTGCAAACACGTGGTTTCGAAAAAGTGAATAAATCGCGACTAGGAAATTTTCCTTCGCCTTAGGATAGAATAATAAGCACATGTTATTTGATATAAAGTACAGATAGAATGAATATTTGATGCGTCTTATTTCGATCAGCTGTGGTCATTGAACACCGTGCACATCATGGTCGAACGAAAGCTCCTAGCCTACGAGATAACGTCAATCGCGGCATGACGCGTCTCAGTTTCTGGACAATGAATCACAGGCTAATAGTGCCAACCAATCAGGAGCCGAGTGGCTCAAATGGAAGTTGTATGACGTCAAGAATGCAAACAGGCTATTGGCGAAGACCTATTGTACAAATTATTCAATACCCAATAATCCAGCCACTGTTTCTGTGGCCTTTTTCCCGTGTCTCAGTGATGGGAGATTCCATCCTTAGATTTTCTGTTCAATTATGTCCGTCACTTGCGACCGTGATCCGTAATCCGTACCTATTTCGTTTGCTACTGTTTCACTGGACGATCCAGACGAATCCCTATGCCAACAAAACGATTGCAAGGAAATGAGTTTCATTTGAGAACCAATTAATTGTACCCAGGTTCTTACTACGGCAACAAGTCTTCCACCGAGCTCACTGAACTACCACGAGGACGGCCCGAGGATAATGAAAGTGACTCTTGGAACGCCAGAAACGGCTAACTTCGTATTGCAGTCGTGGAATGATAATAGAAAAAAGGGTACTCCAAAATTACGCCTAAGACCATCACATAATACTGGATCTCAGAAACGTTCGAAAACGGAAACCGATAATAACATGTCGCCTTCCTCAAATACTGCGGCTTTTATTACTCCACTTTCACCAAGAAGCACCGACGAAGTCAATTCTAGAAAAAAATACTGTTAGCCGACCCCAATTTGGTAGGCAGAAACAAAACCACATACCCAGATAGATTTCTTCGCCGAAGATATCTTTCATGTTTTTATACCAGTGCACGAGGTTACCTTAGCAAATTCTCCGAGATAGAACTTCGTTGACAAACTAATCGATTTGACATTGTTGCCCTTACTGAAACCTGGCTGACCACAGATATTCTCGACTTGGAATTGCGTCTATCAGGAATGTCGCTGCTCAGACGTGATCATCCTACACAAGGCGGTGGAGTGCTGTTTTGTCATCGAAAAAATTTACAGTGTTAACAGCTTGATATTCCCGACGCAGCCCCCGATTCGTTATGGTGTTCAATATGACTCTCCAAAAAAGATAGGTGTCTAATCGGTGTTGTGTACCGACATCCCGCATCTTCAGACTCAGCCAACGAGATTTTGCTGCAAACCATGAGGAATACATTATCAATAAAGTTCACCCATGTCCTCATAATGGGTGGCTTTAACTGCCCCAATCTCATCAGAACGAGGACTTCCCACCAGCCATTTGAGAGACAATTATCTGATCATTGGATTGCACCCATTGTACAAACACGTGACAGAACCCACCAGATTTGGAGCAGGTTACGTACCATAAACACTGGATTTAGTGCTGACTAACGAGGAGCTGATGATGGAATCTGTCAGTCACGTCTCCACTAGGATGTAGTGATCATGTCATATTGATAATTGATTATATAGGCTACGCCTCTACCTAAGAAAACCGAAAGAGCAGTACTCGTGCTATCTTAGACTACTAAAAGCTGCAATACTTGAGTAATGGGCCCTCCCAGAAGACGACCACGATCGTTTGGTGGCATGAGAGAGCTTCTCTGATTACCTTTCCGAAATTGTAACGGCTGCAACAAGCATAAAAACTTGTGCTAAATCTAAAACTCGTCATTCGCTCATTCGCAGCCGAACAAGGAAATGGATAGAGCGAAGAAACTTTTGGCGGGAGTACAGAAGATGTCTATCAATCGAAACTTGAAATAAATATTCCATACTGCGACATCGGTGTACCAAGTTTGTACGAGAGAACAAATTGATGTACCAAGAAACCCTGGTTCAAGAATTCATTTCTGATCCAAAATTGCTTTCTAAACATATCAACTCTACAAGGAAGGTGAAATTCGGAATACCAGTATTGAGATCATCTGCACATGTTTCAACCGCTACTCTAAAAGCAGCAGAGCTCCTGAAAAGCAGTTCCATCAGGTGTTTACTGCAACGACACACGAAACATTACAGATTCCAAGCAAGCTACCTTGTATACCGTATCTGTCACTTGATAACATTGCTTTTGACAGTGAAAAGGTTAGAGCAAAACTACTAGCTTTGCGCACGAATTCATCCCCAAGAGCAGACAACATGCAGCCCCGGACTCTGACTTCGCTATCCAATAACATTTCCGAAACTCTGGCTGTTCTTTACCAAACGATGTTCAATCAGACGGTAATTCCTCAGTCATGGAAGGAAGGGCTGATTTCCTCCGTTTACAAAGGGGATCGCGCAGTGATCTCGCCAACTACCGCCCTGTTACACTTCTTCCAATATTGTCGAAAGTCATGGAAGCTATTGTGACAGATCTGTTGATGAAGTATCTGGAGAAGCATGAGCTTTTGTCCCCAACTTAGCACGGATTTCGGCACAAGCGTTCGTGCACCACAAATCTACTTCTTGCACGCAAGGAGTGAACAAAATCCGTCGACGCAGGCCAGCCATTGAATAAAGTTTATTGAGACTTCTCCAAGGCATTGGATCGAGTAAACCACTAAATTCTACTGCAAAAGCTCTACAACTACGGAGTAAGAGATTTGTTTCTGAACTGGATCAAGGAGGTTCTCCGACAAAGGACCATGTCAGTTCGTGTTGTTGATTCATCATCAGAGCCTATCACCGCTGCCCGAGGGGTTCCTCAAGGATCGGTACTGAGGCATCGTCTCTTTCTGGCATTCATAAATTACTTGCCACATGTTCTTGGGCCTAATACACTGCTACTTGCGGACGACGCCAAGATCTGGAGAACTGTAACACACCCTGGGGATTATATAGCACTCCAACAAACAATCGACGCAGCCCACCGAGGGTTAATCGCCAATAAAATCGAGTTCAACGTTTCCGAATGCAGAGTTATTTCCATGCGACATAGGGTTCGTTTCTCCTAAGTTCTGGGGAACCAAATACTACCATATGTCACTGATGAAAGGAATTTGAGAGTTATGATACAGGAGGACGTAGGATGTTCCACGCACTGTGCCAGAGCATCCTCCATGGCTTTAGAGCAAGTTGGACTACTAAGACGTGTTTTCCGGCAGTTCGAAAGTGCACTGTTCCCTCGCTTGCTATCAGCGTTCGTTCGGCCACACACGGAGTACGCCGTTCAACTATAAAATACATGATTAAACCGCGAAAAGGAGGCTCTAAAACGTCCACAAACGCTAGCAATCAAATTGGTAAAACATTTGTATAACAAGACATACTCCGAAAGACTGCAAATATTGGGACTCTACTCGTCTTAATACCGGCGACTTGGGGGATCTAATCCTGGCATATTACATACTGCATCAACCCAACCACCCTTGCCGTTCTATACTGACTTTATCTCATAATGATCACCTCAGGGGACATCCACCAAAAGTGAAGACCCAGGACAGCCACCTTGATTGTCGGCATCACTCGTTTGCAGTCAGTGTGCGGGGTATGGAATTCTCTTCCATCCGATGAAGTGTGTGCTCCTAAAGTTGAGCTATTTAAATCGCAACTTGATAAAGCATTGGGACACGTAAAATTTCAGCATCCCTGAGCGATCATGCAAATTCTTATTATTATCATTTTCTCTTTGTGATGTTCTTCAAATCATCATTGTGTACATATTCCGTGCCCGAAAATGAACCTAGATTGAGTTCTGACTGGGATTCGTCTATGTCTCCTCGTCTTGGTCTTCGTCCGTTCACTGAGCTAAAATGTTACCCTTCTGAGACTGTCAAAAGTGGTTTGAGAATGTTTTATCTCAGCACGGTAAACAATATTAATGTTAATTCAGTACTGTAGTTATATGTATTACTACGATGCATACTAGGATAAGATAGAAAACGATGTTTTGTAAGAGGATATACCAACACGGATCACAGATGAACTAGGACAATCTAGTAATACATATAATATGAAACATCAAGGGGTATTCTTCCTCGAACTGTAACACATCCAGCCACAAGTTAACCATAGATAACCGGGGTCATTATTTTTGTGACAAAACTTCAGACATCCTTACCGCTTGTTTTTTCTAAGTAGTCATCCGCGTTCCGGCCTTCTGGGCCAAATATTCCGGGTTCACTTGAGCTTTTCAGAGAGAGTCTTACAGTCATATTTTCCTCAGGTATATGTTCACCATATTGCTCTGTGTGGTCACTTCCGTTGAAACGAGTTTCACTTTTGTTTTCTATTTTATCAGATTTGTTTTCCTTGTCATCTGGATTTATGTTCCCTTTTTTCGCCTCTACCTCTTCCTCCTCCTCCTTCTCATCATCATCATCATCATCATCATCATCATCACCATCATCATCATCGTCGTCGTCGTCATCATCGTCAGTGTCTTCTTCGCGTTCGTCCTTTTTTTCTTCCACCTCTTGGATCGGTTTTCCTTCCTCAATGTCTTCAATCCCATTTGCACCGGGTCCATTTTCATTTGTTTGTTCACTGTTCATCACGTCATCTTTCGTGGAATCCGCCGTGGACTGTTTTACAGAAAGGTCACCTGGGGGATGAAACCGATTATAGATGCAGACAGTAGTTTTGTGTCAGGTAAAGCTTTCGTTCCTTATGTATCGTTTCATTACTGCAAAAGCTGGGATCTAGTTGATCTGAAACACATGAAGTATATATTGTTTATGATTGAATTGTTGTCCACTAGTCGAGGTCACCATTACCTTCATCCAAAATTTGTCGATTCACTATCACGATTAACTATCAAGGCCACCAACGCCATGGTTTTCTGCAGACGTAATCTTCCCGTTTTTCATATACCCTCAAATGGTTTGTGGTCGGTTATAATCTCCCCGAATCTCCTTGAATTTTTATTGTTCTCTACTATTGAATAAAGTTAAAAACTAGCCTGGCTATATGAGATGCCGGGACAGATGTAGCATCTCTGATCGGATAGGTCTCACCAGTTAATGCGTAAAAATTCAATCCTATTGACTTTAGTTACTATAGCTTTTCACGGATTGACCATGTCATGTGTTCCTAGCTGGGAGGTCTCAGAGGTGTCTTGTATTTGTGGAACTTTGATTGAGTGCTACTGCCAGTGGAATACAGAAACAAAACTCAATTTTCATAAAGGACCATTCGTTAATTATAATACAAATTAAGATTAGGATTAAGATGTTTTGGACAAGTTCATTCTTCACTTAGTTTTGAGTTTCTTATTACAAATGTAATGTTAGTATAAAGCGGTTATGGGTCACAATCACAATAACATTTAATTTACTTTGTGATGGAAATGTTTGTGATAACCAACAAAGAGCACTGGACAGCTGTTTCATCCTATTTGGGAGTCGTAAGAAATGCGTACTTTTTGTGTCCCTTTCAGAACTCGAACCGCGATTCTTCGGGCTGGGACTTCAAACCCTTACCTTTGAACTACACGTTCGATGATTATCACCTTTTGTAAATGGCTCAATCAGTTTTAGAGAATCAAGACCATCCAGAGTGCCTGGTGCCTCTGAAAAATCGAATGGGCTTATTCAAGCTTGATACTCTAAAATTTACTTTATGAATTTTTATACCATGTTCACCGCGAATAGCAGCCAGAACACCGCCCCTCACGAAAAGGAATGCATAATGGTAGTGACCGCATTGATTGGAGAAGAACAAAGGACGATTGACAACGTTAGCAAACATTGCAAAATTGCCGGGAACATAAATGAATTTGAAATTCCCTTGACAATGCTAATTCTGCTAAAATTGATGTAAACAGAGGGTATTACAGTTTGTTAACCTCCCCAACAAAGAGTACGGGGACAATCTTGCTCAGAGCACAGCCCGCGGCTAAGGTTTCCCACCTTCATGGTTGGGGCACATGGGATTACCGTTGATTAGATACACTGGAATATTTAGATCAAAACAGAAATCATCATCACAAATGCTACAAAATCTCCATGGGGACCAAAAACACAAAACCGAAAAGACATTCGAACTTCAGACGATGAAATTGTTACAAAACCATTGTGTTTATTGTCATTTTTTTTGTGAACTGTTTCTTTCCAGTGCTCCAATTTAAACACAACAGCTCATTCTCACTGGCAGATTTTTATGTTGACATTTCGCTTATTTCCAAAATGATTTAGGAGAAAAAGACACAGGCCCTTCCTGGACCTAAGACGTCTCAAATGTGCAGATTCAAGCAGTGGCATGAAGGCATAGGTTGTGTATGGCTGAACGCAAAAAGAAGTGAGATGTCTTCGTCGTTCTCAGCCTAAACTGGTGCAGTTTGACAATGGCCTATAGATGTTCACTAATTCTATAATCTCTTTCTAGTCAGACTGATCAAAAACCGTTCTCTCAGTCATCGTGTTATGAGTAGTATGTTTGGCCTGCGCAAAAAAACGCAACTGGTGGTTTCTCCCAACGATCAGAAATGAATAATGCATTATAGAACGAAATACCATACTCAAAATGATAACTACGGAAAATGCACATCACCATTGGACTGTTCCATTATTTATCCTGTTTTCTTGTGGGAATTCTGAAGACTTGTTCCAAATAAGCCATCTTGTTCTATGTATGCCGATCACCGATCTCCGTTCATGATAAACATCTTTCATCGTCCCGGCATCGTCTTCTGAACTTTAAGCATCCGGATCCACAATGACGATCTGTGCGATCCACTGTCTTGGCCTCACGCAATACTACATTCGTAGGCAGAGCCAGAATGGACGGACCCCAGCTAGGCCACAGGTAGGTTTAAGAATTTCACAAACGACGAATGATAGGGTAAAGCCACTTCCGGCTTCCATCGTAAGCCGTATGATAACGCGTGTTGTTCATGGTGACTCGACATGACTGATTCTAATAAAGTTTGCCGAGGCCTCAAAATAATGTAGTTAGTTTTGCCAACAAAATGAAGAAGCGTGAGCCTACATTCTGAAGTACTTAAATAGATCTGGGTAGACCCGACAATAAAGTGTTTCTTTTGCCCACGTGAGAAACCATTTTTCTATCCGGAAGATACTCCGAGGATAAGCAAACGGAAAATGAATGATGTAGTCGCTAAGTGACCGAATACACGCCACATGAAAAGACCAGTACATTAAAAATAAATTATCGATGCAGTTAAAGATTTCGAATTGCAAAATTTTGGGCATTCATGTAAGCGAACTTCGAACGTTGTTGGAATTTGACTACTGTTCTGCTACATATGTTTCTGTATAAAAAACACTTTTCTAAAATGAAGCCATCACGTCGGATGTGGACGGAATCACGGACGACAGTGAATGGAAAGAACAGCTTGCGAAAAAATATCATCGGTTCAGAGTGATTAATAGAAAAATAACCAATCAAGCACAAAAGACTCACTCGTTGAAATCCAACTATCCCAGGATCTCGATTGGTCAGAACTGGACTCTTGAGAAACACCCGATTCCGAATCTGGTTTGAAGTGGAGTTCGGTGAAATTGTATCTCTTCTCTTCGGGTACCGGTGACTTCGTAACAAAAAAACCGACAATATCAGGCTCCTCTATTTCACCAAAAGACGAAGTTACTTGCTGATTCTCATCTAGATCTACTCCGCTTCT